GGGGGCTCCGGGCACAGGTGAGGGCGTCGGTGAGAGCCATCGCTCCCTCCAGAAGGTCTTCCCCTTCGGGAAGGGACCGGAAAGGGACGGGCCGGAAAGGGTGGGGGGGGAGAGACGTGCTTCCAGGCTGAGAGCGGGAGCGGGTTCTGACGCAGGGAAAGTGGGTCACAGGAAACAGCTCTGCACACGGCCCTGGAACATCAAAGGTGACACTAAGCAGGGCCAGGACTCCACGGCCGCAATCAGGGAGAAACGCTCCCGGCCCCGCCCAGGCTCCGGTCCAACAGCCCGTCCAAGGGGCTCGTTACGCATCAAGCCCTGAGGTTAACCAGGGCCCCGAGCCAGGAGGGGGGGGGGGCGGTCCCGGCAGACACAGGGCCAGCCTCCAGCTGTCTGAGCCAGGGCCTGTGGTCACAGGGCCCCAGATTCAAACCCCACTTTGCCACCTGCTGGGGTGTGGCTGGGAGCAAGTCCGCTCACCTTGCCAAGGCCCAGGTTCCCTGTCTGTAATGTGGCGAGGGCAGCAGTGCCCACCTCCGGGGGACGCTGAGGACTGTGAGGCTGAGGACTCTGTGAAGGCGGCGAGGGTACACAGGCGCTCCGGAAGGGGGCGCAAACCAGGGAATGAGCGATGAAGAGGAAGGTGAGGTCCTCATCCCAGGGAGAACCACGGAAGGCTCCCTGGAGGAGGCAGCCATGAAAGATGCCAAGAATGCAGAGAAGGGACGTGGGACACTGCAAAGCATCTGGATGGCCTGTCAGAGCCAGACTCCGGGCGCCGAACACCAGGCCGCGTCGACGCTGAGCCGCAGGCGGGCTGCTGCCCCCCCAGCCCGGCTGCTCCGAGGGGCCCGAAGGGAGGAGCTTCCAGCCTAAACCTGATTATCGTCCTCTGAGGTCAGTCCAACGGCGGGAAGGAGGGGCCTCCTGAGCCCGGCTTTTCCCCGAGGACCCCTCGCCGCCAGTCGAGTGGCTCTCCATTCGCCCAGGAATGCTTGGGTTTTCACAGAACCGGTCCACTCGCCAGACGGGAAACACTTCAAAGCCGTGAAACCCCAGCTGTCCTGAGTCACGGACAAGGATCGGATGCCGGGTGGGGGCGCAGCGGGCGTGGGCGTTCAGACGGACCGGGCTGCGAGCCCAGCGGGGGACCAATTGCAAGCGTCTGCCATCGTTTTGCGATGAAGGTCACACGACACCCACAGCCAAGCACGAGGAGGTCGGTGCCCACGCATTCCGACAGCGGAGCTCACCTCCCAGCGGTGACGGGGCTGGGAATGCCAGGAGGGTCAGAGAGGAGGGAGGGCGGGGTGGGCGAGAGCCAGGGAGAGCATTCCGTAGGACAAGTGCCCGCTGGGAACGGCCACTCCTCCCTCGGGCCACGGTGGCAGGCCGAAGTCACCAGATCTTAGGGGTTTTCAAATAAAGCTGGAAGTTTGGGGTTTCGTGTAGAATCTCCTAATTTATAAATGTAAGCCAATGATTCGAATTCTGTGGACCTACTAACATTTCCTGAGCACCTACTATGTGCCAGACACCGTCCATACTGTTCATTCATCTCATCTCCTAACCAGTCTCTGAGGGAGCGGCTGGGTCCAGGCTGGCCTGGCATCTGTTAGAGGGGAAGGCACCTGAGACGCACCACCAGCGAGCCTTGGAGTCTGAACCTGGTTCGACCTGATCTTGCATTTCACTGGCCCCAGTTCAGCCTTAACCAACTTCAAGCCTCAGCTCACTGGCCACCTCCTCCAGGAAGCCCTCCTGGGTGCTCCACATCCACCCCAGACGCCTTTCTGCCCAGCTCAAGCCACAGCTCAGCCCTGTCACTATCTCTTCCCTGGACCACCTGCCCACATCCGTGCTAACAGCTCCTGCACACAGTGGGTCTTTCCGTGCACTCCAGGAGCAGCTGGACAAAGGGCTGAGAACCTGGAGCCAGTCTGCGGGTTTCGGGTGGCCACTCAGCCACGGACGAGCTGGGTGATGCCACAGGCACCCACCCGCTCTGTGCCTCAGTTTCCACTAAAAGAGATGCGCACGCTGAAGTCCTGCTGGCGTGCCGCAGCCGCCAGTACATGCTGGCCCTCGGCGTCTGCGGAGGGGACGAATACCTGTGTGTTTCCAGATCTCTCTCTCTCTCTCTCCATCACTCCACCCAAAGCCCGGGCAAGGCTGAAACCAGAGCACGGCTCCCGGCCGGGATTCCAGCCGCACAGAAAGGAAGAAAGAGGCTCCAAAACCCGAAAGCCTGGCCACCGGAAAGCGTCCCCACAGAGCTGCCCAGCACCCCGGGCCGAGCACAAGGCTCCGGCTTTGAGTTTCTGTGTTTAATCTTTTTCTCTGTGTGGGTTTCACTCCTTCGTTTATTTATACTCAGGTTCTTTCCAAAGGAAAGCTTTTAGCAGCTTCCTTTTCTTCTTCCCTCTGACGTTATTGGGAAAGCGGGCTGGCTCTAGAAGCACCGAGGCCTTGCTCCAGGGGTGCCGGGCAGGGAGGGGGGTCATGACACACCCGCAAAGAGGGGGAGCAGGGAACTGTGGGGGTTCCGCGAGGATGAAGAGGCCCCGTGGGGGAGCCTGGCGCGGAGGCCGGAGCTGTGACAGCGCCGTGCTCTGACATTTTCCTCAGTGTGTCATTTCAACACAGCGGCGACTCTGTCACCCAC